CCCAAATTCCGGAAAAGGGATGCAAAGCAGGTAAGTCAGCATAGGGAAATCCGCGGGGGATTTAAATATCCCCTGCGGATTTAAATAAACATGTCCGCTGAAAGTAGGAATAAGAGATCCTCCGGAAAAGGGCTTTATTCCGGAGGATCGCGCCAGTCTAGACGCTTTTTTCCGGCTTTTCCCCAAGCCGGAAAAAAAGCGGCGCACATGTTTATTTAAATCCGCGGGGGATATTTAAATCCCCCGCGGATTTCCCTATGCTGACTTACCTGCTTTGCATCCCTTTTCCGGAATTTGGGGCCAGTGTAGACGTAGCCATTGAGTTTGGGATGATCATGTTACTCTGTCCTCTGACAGTGCTTTGCTGCTCTTCCTTAGGTAATCCCCTTTTTCCTCCCTGGGTTACTTGGGAGCAGGTTACACTTACAAGTGTGCCTGGGCACCTGATGGTTTTAACATAAAAGGAGATCCTGAGTACCCCAGTGGTGATGTTATTTAGTTGGGGAAACCCTATCCACCCCCTTGCTGTTGTCCCTTGCTCATAAAGAACATACAATGGCGGTGCCTCCTCCTGGCTGGCCCCATAGACAATTAAGGGTGTGCCTCAGGAGCCTCCAGGAATAAAATTATTCCAGCAATAATCTGGATCTAGCTCCAGAACAACAATTACAAATCATAAATAATATACATCTGATAGATTACAGTAGAATGAACAACCTTTACTTACCTTAAAGAAACAGAGTTTAACAGATTAACAGTGAATAACATTAACAAAGTACACAGAAATAATAGGAACTTATCTATCTGGCATTTGCACTGCCACCATTTATCCCAGCCCAGAGTGTGCACTGTTCTGGACTCACAATACCATACACTTGCTTGTGTGGGTGTGCTTTAAGCTTTTGCAGCTGGAGTGGATGATTCTAGTCTCCTTCTGTGTGCTGGGTGCAGAGTAGTACTTCTAGCCACAGGTACAGCCAAAGGGCAGTCAGAAGCAGCCTGCTAGATTCCAGTCCCAAAGGCTCTGAATCTGTCCGTAGCTGCAACTTAACAGTTCCGGGACTGGATAAAACTCCTCCACAGCAGCCTGGCTTCTTTTTTTCCAAAAACAAAGGGAAGAGTCCACAGACTGCTGAGTCTCTCTCCACACACATGGAGAGAGACGGACCCCCAAAACAAAGAGCCACTTCCTTCCTGGTTTCCTCAAGGGCTCATGGGAATTGTAGTCTCTGGGGCTAGATTGCAGCACACAGGATTTTCCCAGAGAACAAGCAGAGTCACCTTTAGTAAGGGGACTACACTTAGATCTATGGTAAACATCAGATACCTGCCCTGAAATAAGCTTGCAAAATAACATTTTTATAACTTGTGTATTTAGTAACAGATGTTGGCATGTTAGACTTCTAACCTGCCAGGCTCAAAGCTCACTTCTGCATTAGAGAGTAAGGTTTACAACGCTTAACTCTAACTTGGCCTTTAACCCATCAAACCAGGCCGGCTTCTGTTTCATTTAGATTGTGCCTGGCTCTGTACAAAACACAGGGTAAGAGACAGTTCCTGTCCTGCAAAAGCTTACAATGTGGCCCTTATCTTGGTTGGGGGACCTCAAGGTCTGCTGGTGATGCAACTAATTATGCTTACAGAATTCACCTCCCCATTTTGAAAAATAACAAGAACAATTCTTATCATTTGTGTGCAGCTCCTGACTGATCTTTCTGTGGATCAGTGGCCCCCAACCCTGGTGTAATCTATGTCTGCTTTGTGGAGGAGCTCTATCCACATCTAGCATCAGCTAGACCTATTAGAGATGAGTGAGTCTGCAACAGCCTTAGCTCAGAGGCATGTGGCTTTTAGCTCATGCAATAGAGGCCTATATACTAATCTTAAGAAGTCCCAGGTTCAATCCCACCCTATAGCCGATGCCTGTTGGCATTATATGTACACTATGCCTGCATTGCAAGCACACTTGAACTCCAAGGGTACATATAAACTACATGGCTTCGTCGACAGAGCCATGTAGAGTAGTGTACTCGATAAAGGGAAATGAAGCGGCAATTATTTAAATAATCGCTGCTTCATTTACATCAAAATGGCTGCCGCACTGTGCCGATTGGCTGTTTGTGGCACAGCATGGTAATCTGGATGCTCTGTGGTCAACAAGGGAAGCCCTTGTCAACCGCCCTGTTATGCCTCGTGGAATGAGGTTTACCGGGGCGGTCGACAAGGGCTTCCCTTGTTGACCGCAGAGCGTCCAGACTACCATGCTGTGCCACCAAACAGCTGATTGGCACAGCGTGGCGGCCATTTTGATGTAAATGAAGCGGGGATTATTTAAATCACCACTTCATTTCCCTTTTTCGAGTACACTCATCTACACAGCTCTGTTGACGGAGCCACTGTGCCGCCAAACAGCTGATCGGCACAGTGTGGCAGCCATCTTGATATAAATGAAGCGGCGATTATTTAAATTGCCGCTTCATTTCCCTTTATCGAGTACACTACTCTACATGGCTCTGTCGACGAAGCCATGTAGTTTATATGTACCCTTGGAGTTCAAGTGTGCTTGCAATGCAGGCATTTTGAAGATTTACTGCCTGCTTCTTTGTGCTCCTTCAGGGCATGCTCACCTCTGTCCCCATGCTGGTACATGCAGTCACAAGTGTATGCGAGGTGCCACTTGTTCTTGTTTTGTCCTTTTATTTACTCTCTAGACTGTTTATTACTTTAAATATGTATCAGAAAGGCTAGGAGGAGGGAATGGAGAAGATTCTTGGCAGAACTTCTGTGGAAAAGCAGTCACAAGATACCTGCAAGCCTCCCAACAGTCAAGGAATCACTTGCCTGAGCTCTTGAGAGGCTAGGATTCAGAAACTGTCCTACTCTGGCTGAGTGAAACTGCCCTACTTTGTGAGCCCCACTCCTACATGGTTCATAATATTTGCTTCCAGGTCATTATCATTTTAATTGCTGCATCCCTAAACAAATACAATGCAAGCGCTAGGATTCAATGAGGTGGGCTTGAGAATGAGTTTTCAGTGGGTTGGTTTTGTGGACACTGCTGCTTTGTATTGCAGAGCCATTACTTTCTTTTCTTTAAGAATCTAGCCCTGATGGCTTTGAAAACGTGACCTGAGCATGATTGATTGCTGCTTGACTCCCCATGGTATGAAAATAAGGGGAATTAAAACTGGAGCATTAAATTGTTATTTAAATGTTCATATACTTAACTGATTCATTGTTGATCAAGATGCCTAGGGAAGAAGAGGGCCAGGTATCTCATTGTGACCTTTGAGAGGGTGGCACTTGAGTTGTGTGAAACGAGGCAGAGGACGCATGATCATTTTGTAATGACCCTGTTGGCCCATTACTGAGCACTGTGTTTACTACCAGACCAACATCCAGCCAGCAGAGGGGGCTCCATAACCCCTCCAGCACAGGAAAGGGAAGGGCTGCAATAGGTCAGAAGGGGACCAGTTTGGGGAAGTGCCAGAGATTGTGGGAGACTGGCAGTTGTCTGGGAGCTGGTTATGGAAGGAAAGGCCTGATAATGGGTCTGAAAGCTGGGCTGAGGACACAACCTATTGTTGACAAGGGCCAACGGCAGCTGCATATGCCGATACTTGGCTGAGGCTCGTTATCAAGAAGACAATGCCATGGGTTGTGCCCATGAAAGCTCATGATCCCATCTACATGTTTTGTTAGTCTCTAAGGTGCTGCAAGACTGTTCATTGTTTTTTAAGGTTTTCTAGTTACATACTAACACAGCTACCCCTTTGTAGCTCCTTCCTGTGCTTCTGAACTACTGTCTTCCTCTAACTCATTTACCTCAATATTGTGCTGGCTTCTAGCGCCACCTCCAAAATTCTTGCTTGCTTCTATCTCCCACAATCTTTTCCATCCTCGGAATCTTTTTTCCCCCTCCCACAAACCCATACAGAGAGCCTGTGTCTCTTCCACATCTAATCCATAACCCTGTTGCAGTTTCTGTGCTCCTCACCACAGTTGCTAGAGCTGGAGGAGCTGGGAGTGCTGCCGCACCTCCTGGCTCCACGTGGTTTCCATCATATACAGAGTTTATTGTTTGGTTCAATGGCCCTCAGCACCCCCACTATAAAAATTGTTCCAGCACCCGTACTCATCAACACGGTGTCTGAGGCTATGTCTAGACTACGTTGAAGTTTCAAAAGAGGATATGCAAATGCCGTGTAAACCTTATTTTTTGAGGAAGAGTGGCTTTTCGAAAAAGGGAGGGTTGCCAAAAAAAACCACATCCCCACTACTTTCACTTTCCAAGATCTGCTTCGAAAGTGAGATTGGAAGAAGATATGCAAATTCCCACAGAATTTTCATATCCTTTTGAAACTTCAGCGTAGTCTAGATGAGCCCGGAGACTCTACTATCTCCTACCACTGCTCTGCTCCATCTCCTCATGCTCCACATTCTCATCTCTTTAAAGGTGTAGTGATTGGTAGCAGCCACTGGAGGGCTAATTAGAATCTATGTGTCTGTTTTTACACCTACTTGGCCTGTGACTAGTTCTTAAGCATAGCGTGAGGGGGTCCTTTGCATTTCTGAAAACAGGTTTTACGCGCCTACCCCCCAGACTACATTCACAACTCAGCCATTCGAACGTACCCCCCCTCGATGTGCCCAGCATTCACACCCTTTTAAAAATATGGCTCCATAGCATGGCAGAGGGTAGTCCATGACTTGTCAGTGCTGTGCTACTCTTTCCTTGTTTAATTACAACCTGATTTGCAGCAAGTTGTGAAGAGTTTGTGCCATAGCTAATTTAGCTGAAACTCTCATATGAAAAAAAGATTAACTGTGGCATGCTGATAACATGGGATTTAACACAGTATCTTAGTGTGCCAGACAAGGGATTAATGTGTTAATTCACCAGCACACGTTAGCAGAGCATTTCCCCCCAGTTGTCTGTCTAGCATGTTTTAACATCAATTTGTACTGTCACTGTGATGAGCCCTCTCCTTGATTAGCAGTTCTGCCAATTATTTTTATGGGAAGAATGTGCTTCTAGTGCCTGTCTCTATGTTGCACACAAAAGAAAAAGCAACCATTCCCATGCTTTCTGCAAGCTTCTTACAGGGAGCTCTGCATGTTTCACGGAGCAGCTGCAAAACCATATCGGTGCAGACTTTCAGCTTCACCTTCACAGGGCTTGAAACTAAGCATGTGTGAAAAGGGTCCTGATTAGATGTTGTATTCTGCAGCATCAGACAAAGAAAATAGATGGATATTCCTGGTCTGTAGAGACTTTCTTGTGATTAGATGTTTCTTCGGTTCCAAAGCTTGCCTGTTCAGCATTTTGTGATCCAGAGGGTGTTCAAGATACATCTTGCAGTATGCCTGCATTGATTTAAAGCCAGCAAGCAGATGCAAGCCTGCATCAAGACAGAGTGGATGTTGCTTCTTGTGATTTATCATGAAGGTACAGCTTTATGTTTCTGAAAGCACTTGACTAGCTGGATGTTTTTGTCTAAGCAGTAGATTTTTTTTTTCAAAGGAAGATTTGAAAATCAAGCTGTCTGCTCTGTTGCTTGCTTTACCAAGTTCAGTGCTTATCTGTTTACTTGTATCCCAGGGACACCGTACTGTTCTTCTCTGCCTGCACCATCTACCACTGCTGCTTCTACTACTTTCAGTCATCTTTTGAGACTGGATCAGGAGACTTGTTTAGCAGCATTTGGGACTAAAATCTCCAGCCATTCAGTATCCTATAGCCCTGCTCTCAGAGCGTGAGAAGGTTTGAGTACGCTCTAAGATTTGGATTTAGAATAAAGGTTTATTGCAGGAGCAATGCAAGTTTCCATAGCTTGTACAGAACATAATTTGAAGAATCGAAATGGTGAAGACAGGCTTATGAGCAAACAGAACACCACTACTCCAAATGTAGTGAGTGCAGCCCGGGCAAAATTCCGGACGGTGGCTATTATTGCTCGCAGTTTGGGGACATTTACCCCTCAGCACCATATCTCTTTAAAAGAATCAACTGCAAAGCAGACTGGCATGAAATATAGGTATGGGCACAATATTCACTGTTCATAATGTTTGTGTCATATCTCTTTTACCATAGGTGACTCATCTGCTTCCAGAGGGATTCCCTTTTCCAAAATCCCAGAATCTTGTTTAAAAAGGACATTAAAAAAATCCTACAAAAAGCCCTAAGTTTTAAACTTTCAAGTCAAGTATCTCTCCTCAGTGGTATTTGAGTCCTGCTGTTTCTGCAGGCATAGGCATTTGCTGTTTGATACACAGCGTTTTCTTTCCTTTCCTTTATGATATCAAACACCGAAATTGTGTACCGTTACATATGGATGATGTTAAAAGTAGCATTTGACACACCTTTTGTTAGTATTCATATATAAAAAGACTGAATTACAAATCAACAAATATCTGCATGGAAAAAGTTTTCATTTTTACAGCACATGTTGGGTAAAATGTCTCTAAATTAGTTGCTCTGTCTTATCCTAAGGATCCCTTCAAGACCTTTCATCTGACTGGCTATGTGAGGACAAGGAGGAACTTATTTTAAGTGAAATGTAGACAAAATCATAACCAGGGTCCTAGAAAATCTAATGCTTCCGACCATTTTTTTTTTCTTAACATGGGTATGTATAAGAATAAAATTGAGTGTCACAGCAGACTGAGCATTTGAGAGAGATGAATCTGGAAAGCTTCTTTGTATCAACTGATACAAGTACTTATTATGGAGTTACTTTAACTTGGAAAAATAAGCAGTTTTATGACTTAATCCATATGCATTTGACATGTTATCTGGACCGTGAACGTATCGTATCCTCTGTCTTGTGCTGGAATTCCTTGATTCTTAGAAAAGAGGAGATAGCAATCTAGGGTCAGATTCTGCCCTGAATTACCCTATTGAGATCTACAAGGCTGTTTGTGCAATGGTGCTACTCAAAAGGAGCATGAGCGGCAGAATCTTGTCCTTAGGAGTAAGGGACTGAGTCTGACTGTAATTGGTAACTTTTGTTTTGCATATTTGCAGTTGATTATTTTTTATGGTCAGAAATTTCTGCCTTAGTAAGCAAACCACTTTTTATGGAAGAGGTATTTGGATACCATGGAATTTAATATGACTGAATTAAGAGCAAATTCTACTTTCAGACTGATGTAAATCTAGATTGTTACTGAAGTTGCTCCAAATTTATATGTATGTGCACCCGAGTGCAGAGTTTGACCGAAGGTATTTTGTAGTTATGATAATTTTACAAAGATGACACAAGGGTTTGGCCTTTAAAGAATTGCATTTGAAGGGCCACTTAACTTCATAATTTACCCAAGCAGGTGTAATTTTGTAGTCTGGAACTGCTGGTAAATAATATCCACAGAAGATCTGGGAGATTCTGAAGAATCCCACATATCAGAGGGGTAGCTATGTGAGTCTGGATCTGCAAAAGTGACAAGGAGTCCTGTAGCACCTTATAAACTAACAGATGTATTGGAGCATAAGCTTTCGTGGGCAAAGACCCACTTTGTCAGATGCATCAGAAAGCCGTACTTTGCATCTGACGAAGTGGGTCTTTGCCCATGAAAGCTTATGCTCCAATACATCTGTTAGTCTATAAGGTGCTACAGGACTCCTTGTCGCTTTTGAAGAATCCCAGTTGTCCAGAATAATTTTTAGTGAGTATGGTTAATTTGATCTATGCACCCTTGTTGAAAAATTGCTGGACACCATCACAGACTGGATTATTTTTAACATCGGTGTTGTAAATAAGTACAGGCAACACAAGGACTTGTGGATCTGTACATATGACATTGCAGAGTCAGAAACTTGCAGATTAATTTTTACTGTGGCAAATTCTCAGAAATACTGCCCTTTGAGAATGACATCACTGTCCAGCTGGTTGCGCTCACTGGACATGCATGGGTTTTCAAAGAAGGGAAGTGGGTAACCACAGCTTACCACACAGAGCCGTACTTTGTGATGCCAAGACCTGATTTTGCAGTTCTTATGTTTGCAAAGCTCCTGTTGACGCTAATGTGGAAGGATAATAAGCAGGTAACAGCTGTAGAACCTGGCCTCTGCCAGGCAGCACTGAAGAGGTGATCATATCAGTAGAATGCCCTTTTGTATTTGTTTGATAAATCAATAGATTCTAATAGCCCTAGTATGAAGTGAGAGACAGTATAGAGTAGTGGAATGAGCACAGATTTGGAGCCAGGAACTCCTACAACCTATCAGTGCCATTTTCTTCAGTAAATGCATGCATACATGTTAGGGGTGTTGAGAGAATTAGTTTGTAGAGAAAATCACTAGTTCTGCACTAAAATCACTGAATTAGTTTGTAGAGAAAATCACTAGTTCCTATGAGAATTGCATCTCTTACATTTACAGCCTATGGTGTTTAAACTGGTAGTAATTATTCCTGTTGGTTTTCCAAAGGCACATTATACTGCAGATGCATTAATGCAAATAAATGCATCTTCTTACTCGCTCCATCCAGGGACCCAAATAGGAACAGAACGCTGGCCTCTTTTGGAAACATTTTGGTTTATTTCAAGATAAATTCTGATACCTGAGGCTAAATTCTGCAATCTTTATTCAGGCTCAGCTGCTGTCAACTTCAATGGGAGTTTTGACTTTGTAATGTCTGAGTAAGGACTGCAGGATTTGTATCTAATTTGTAACCAGATTGTTGCCTGCCCTTAAGATTAATCCTTGCTTACAATCCCAAATATACCCATAACTGGAAACAGTGAGAATCAGTTCCTTCCTACAGAGAAGAAACGGGCAGGAAGCTGGGAGAAATAGATGATCAGAATGTAAAGGATCATTCTGAGTTTGGTGAATAGACACAGAGAGAAGTTTGTATCTGAGGAGATGATGAAGCTGCTCTATGCTAATAAATGCACTCTGGCTTTTCTACAAATTGCATGATTAGCACGCAAATTTAGGGCCTGTTCCATCTCTCCCTGAAATCAAAGGGAGTGCTTCCATTGACTTGAATGGGAATTGTGCCAGGTCTGTAATTTCCCCATACTTCAGGCTGAAGATTCTAGTTCTTCTCAGTTCATTTTCTGCTTTAATCATGTCATTTCTGACAAATTGAGGTGCTATTTAAAATGATGCCTTGTTTTATGCTAAACACAAATACTCACACCTAGCCCCTTACGCTTCTGTTGATAACTTTAAGGACATATCTGGTTGCCTGGCTATGCATACTTCACAGTGTGATTTTTTTAATGCTGCTTTCTCAGCCACAGTGCTTTGCCTCCTACGACTGCTAGGCAGTTTTTTATTGTCGGTAGTTGAAGAGAATGATCCTGTCAGTGGATTATGTAAAAGAGAGAGACAGTGAGTATGTGTGTGACAGAAGTGGAGGTGGGAGAGGAACCAGCTCTGTGGCTTCTTCTCAAATGCGTATTTTTGAGTCAGTCCAGATCAGAACCTAGCTTAGAATTTAAAGTGCAAAGCTGACTGAAAATAAATGCACTGTGGAATCTTAAATCTAATGAGACAGTCCTGTACCCATGGACATCACTGGGAGCTTTGCCATTGGCTTCGCCAGGAGGATGATCAGGACCTTACTTTTAAAACTTTATTTCATTTCATTTCAAAGGATTGGAGGCATCAAGTTGCCATCCAAAAGACTGAAAGCAAATGGTGATAGGAGGGCACTATGAGAGTTGGCCAGATGCTGGCTCCCAGTTCCTGTGCATTGAAAGCATAATGGAAATTGGGCAGCAAATGCACCCAGCTCCTGTGTGAGTCCTGCACTTGCAGGCTGCAGAGTCCTGGGGTGATGCTATTTAGGCAGAGCCCTCTCCAAGAACAAGCACATATTGGAGGGGTTTTGTTTTATTTTATTTTATATTTTAAAGGCACCTTTACCACCAATTAAACTTACACAGCTATCGGATTACATTCTCTGTAAGAAATGGGAAAACAGAAGTCTGACAAACAAGTGAAAACTGCTACATTCACTTTAACTCCATTAATATTTCAGTTCAGTTATGCTGGAGAATCTCTCCATATGTTCAGATGTTATCCAGAGCACTGCAAGTCTTAATTTCAGTTGTGATGTTTAGCTTGGAAAATTTCAATCTGCTGCTTAATTTTTAAAAACAAAAACATCTATTTCTACATCCATCAGCATATAAGAAGAGAGAAAAAGCTGGGAAGAAAAATGTGAGGTACCAGGATGCAGCAGTTTTTGAAGAACAAAAGGCCTAGCCGGACTCCTTCTTCCTAACTTCTAGCTCCTTTTTTAGAAAAAGGAGTGCTGGCTAAATACCTCATGGGTGCTATTCAGAAGCAAACACATTTGAAATATAGGTATAGAGTCAATACTAATAATGTCAAATACATGCGTGCAAATAGCTAATCATATTCAGCAAATCATAAATTTTCTGTCAATACCCTTGTTTTACATAATTTGCATAAGATTTGTTGCAATTATATAACAGTGATATCAGCAATGATGTATATGGTTGTATTTTAGTCAGATAACATCATAAGATTTTGTTAGAAAATTGGTAACAAACCTTGGAAAATCCCTAAGGAGGAAGCAGTAATTCAAATACACTGGAAGTCCTCCCTGCAGGTATTTCGTGATACTTTTAATCCAGGCTACTCAGGAATCTAGCTTGGCTGCTTCTAGCTAACAGGGATAAATCACATGTTGTTTTATTTATCCAGTGTGCATCTAATATGTGGGTATTATACAGCATATCATGTAACCCACCTAGAATTGTAGAACATGTCAAAACATTTCACCTCAGCTCTGATGTGCACAGATCCCTTCCTAAGTACTAATATTACAAACGCTCTTTACACTTGCTATTAGTGTCCCCAAGGTGAGGTTTGGGGTGTGGGATGGTGAGGAAGGAAATAGAGTTTAACTGCAGTGATGACAAATGCTTTTCTTCCTCTTTCTTCCTCTTTTTGTGTGTGCAAACTTCATGAAATTGGGTCTGCTCTAAAGTCCTTTCTCTCCAAAGTGGTCTGTTCAGTGCCATATCCTCTGTCACACCATGTGCTGACATGTGGTCA